TATCTACGTGCCTACCTACCTACCTACCCACCGACCTACCTACCTACCTACCTACCTACCTGCCTACCTACCTACCTACCTACCTACCTACCTACCTACCTACCTACCTACCTACCTACCTACCTACCTACGACCGACCTACCTACGTACATGCATATATGCATTGATACTTACATAGGCATTTGCACATGCAAGATTGAAGGTTCTGTGTGCTTGACCCTAAAAAACCCAAGCTTCAAGCCCAACAGCCGATCCCCAAACCCCCCTGCCACCCCAAGGGTTCATTCAGCAGTACTTCAGCTTCATCGTGGAACCTAACTTGCACGTCAGGTTGAGGGTTTAGGGTCCGGGTTCAGTTACGCGTTTGTTGTTTTCAGAATCCGGAAGCCCAAGCCCGATTCCAAATGTAGCGTTGAAGGTGGGGGAGCGCTTGTCCTTCGGCATCACACTGCTTCTTGTGATCGAGGCGGGACAGGGGATGAGTGAACCGAGGGGGGTTCAATGGCATTCCAGGAAGGGCCAAGCTATGGAAGCAAAACATGTCCGAAGCACGCATGTACTGATGTAGTTGAGCCGAGGTCATGAAGACGACGGGAGCTTCTTTCGTCCCTGTTTGTGGCGAGCTGCTCTGGATCGACCTTTTCATGCTGGTGAATACCGTCTTTTGTTGCGCGAGCCTCGTGGAGACCATGGCGGTGCTCTTCTTTGCGTGTCTCGATGGGTTTAGGGTTTCCTAGGGATCCAAAAACCTACCGTTTTAAGGGTTCTACCCTCTAATTAAGGGGTCATAACCTACTAGTTTGTAGGGTTTGGGGTCACAGGTTAGGGTCCCTAAACCCTAAACCCTAAGTGTAGGTTGCATGTATCATTACATAAATGATACAACATGCACATTGGATCCGTGGCGATGGGCCCTATAAGCAATCGAAGCCTTGCGTCGTAGCTAAGCGCCAACCCCCTAAAGTTTAGGACCCTGCAGCCCCCGACCCAGGCCGTCTAAACTCTACCCTTCGTTTTGTTCAAGTTTGCATCTCAAAAACAACCGAGTAGATGCAAGAACTAATGATAACAGAGCACGGTTTAGGCATGTATCTACTGGCGTTCGTAGCTTCAGTGACGTAAGAGATTCATAAGGTTCCATGTCGATCAGCACATCCTCCCCAATTGGCTTGCATGGGCTGCACCATGGTGCCTCTGCCGGCAGCAGCAGCCCCTTGGACTACATTACGGCGTTGTTTGCTCGGCCTTAGATATGCCTAGGGCTTGAGGGTGTAGAGTTGTGTGGGGCTTGGGTTTAACAAAGAGAAGGTGTAGTACCTTTATGAAGCAATGTGTAACAAGCGCAGGGGTTTAAGGCGCGCTGGGGGTGCAGGGTTTAAGGTTTCGGGTTGAAGATTCCTACATGCTCAACCCTACACCCTCTGGTCCTAGTTGTGAGGGTCAAAACCCCAGAACGGCCTAGAACCCTAAATTGAACGTTTCGGGACAGCCCATGAAATCTTTTAAAAGCCATCATAATCCTCCAAAACATCTTTTGGCAAACCCCACAACAGCTTTTAACGCCAGCCTTGCAAATGCCGTCGAAATTACAAGTTGTAAGAATTCTCAGCCTCTGCCAGCAGGGAGCATGGAAGCCAATATCACCCTGTGAAGCCTTTGATAGCAACCTTCTCAATTGTGTTTTGGTAATTAGCAACCGTATAAGAGCCGCATAAACTGCGTTTTCCGGAAGGCCCCTATGCAGCCTCATTGCGTATGGCAACTTTATAAGAGCAGCATGGACTCTGCGATTTTTCCTTTCGAACTTCTTACGCCGTAAGGCCGTAAACCCTAAACCCCAGACCCGGTTTGGACCCTAAACCCTAAACCCTAAACCTAATAGGGAAAAAACCCGGCTTGGACAAGTCCAGGAGTTTCCTGGTGGAGTCTAACGCCGGTCGGATCTTCCGGCAGCTGAACCGGGACAGGCTGGGGCATGGTTGAGGGTTCAGAGACTCCAAAACCCCTTAATTAAGGAATATACCTTAAATCATATTATAGGATCCTATTAAAAATTAAGGTATATTCCTTAATAAGGGTTTTGGAGGCTCTGGGCGGTTGAGGGTCTAGAGTTTTCCCAAACGGTTATAGAGTTTGCAGAGTTTAAAAGGGATGTCGAGGGATCAGGGTCTATAGGGTCTATAAGCATCTACAGGGTCTCTGGCTTTTAGGCTTCAACTGACTAGGTTTTAGGTCTTTGGGCCTGCGGAGCTGTTTCAGCACATTCACTTAACGTTTCTATGTGGAACTTTAGCCTCCTGAGGAGTTTTAGGTGCTTTGTACCAGGGACACTTCGACCAGGACCCAGCCGGATCCAGGCCTCAAAGAGTTCGGTGTGATCACCCAAGGGCTCCTATGTAGTTCCTTTTTGGATATTATACTATAGCTCCTTACCCAAAAACCATAACATACCCAAAAAGGAACTACATTAGAGCCCCTGATCAAACCCTAAGCCCTTCATGATCATGCGCTGACGTTGAGGGTTTATAGGCCTTAGGGACAATTTCAAACCCTACCCAAAGGAACGCTAAGAACGAACCGAAACCAAACAAAAAAAAACGAAACCTAAGAAAGAACCGAAACCCTTTTTCTGTTGTGCGACATTCCCAGGTCGGCAAGGTTGCAGGCCACTGGACACATCAGAGGTTTGCTGTTGGCTTTAGGGTCTGAAGGGCTCTATAAGTGTTTCCATAAGTCGTGCACTACATAGGTTTTCTGGGTGGGTGGGGGGGGGGGGTTTTAGGTTTTGCAGGGTTAAGGAATCGGTCCTTTTGGGCAAGCTGCGGTACCACCCTCAACGAAAGCAAGCCAAGGCAACCACAATCAATATGCAGCTAGGACAACTCCCGCAACACGAAAACCCAAAACCCCCAAGCCCTCCGACTACGCCCCAAGAACCTCGCCTGGCTTGTCCGAGTGTGAGTGNNAGGGTTTAGGGTTTAGGGTGAGTGTGAGTGCCGAAGCCCTAAAACCAGAAAACCCTGAACCCTACAGTGTTACCTTGATGAATTTAAAGCGCTGCTAAAGTCTCCTCTGACGAGCTCGCCTGTGAGCATAGTTCTCTGCCCTGCGAGAGGGAAAACACAGTGTTGCAGACCCTGCCCAGCAACTTGTTCAGCCATGAGGGAGGCAAAAACCCCTGGACCAAAGCCCTAAGCCCCCGGAGCCTGCTTAGTAGGGCGGTTGTTCTGATTGCCTCAGTCCTGCATTGTCACAATAGAATGTCATATAATGATACAATACAGCAGTTATACTTGCAAATATGGTATAATATAAGATGGTAGAATATGATATAGTATTGCACTGTATAATCTAACATGATCCAATACGGTATAATACGATATAACATAACACACCAAGACATAGTTTAACATCATAGTTAGACCCTAAACCCTAAACC